GGGGCAAATCTGATCGCAGGAACAAAATTTCTCCATTTAGAAAGCAGTTTGCCCAAAGTAGGATCTCTGTTCCAGAGACCCACGGACCCAACCTATTTCTGAGCTGTTCCTGGGATATAAATGGTCAACAGTAACGGGCACATAATATGGTATTTCCTAGCAGCTGAGCGAGTGAGGCACCGGCTCCGGGATCCCTCTCTTTGGCCCCAGACCGCTAACTTGCCGATTGGTGGATACTCGCAGGAGCACTCAAGCCCCGCCTCCACGGCGTCTCCACGGCAGCGCGGGAGGCCGAGGGGCGGGGCTCGCCACGTGGAGCGCAGACCCGATTCTCAAAAGACATTTACGCAGTTGTCGCGGCGCAGCTCCCGGCTGTTTACTCATTCCACGTCAGCAGCGGAGGCACAGCGGCCTGGGCTTACTCCAACGCTGTTGACGTAACACCATCTTGCAGGACGTGGACGGAAGAAAAAGCAGCTTTCGAGCGGGCGCTGAGAATCGGTCTGGTGTGGCGTGCGGAGGGCGGCGGGGCCCTGAGGCAGCACTGTCTGAGCTAGGTAGGACGCAGCGGCAGTGAGTCACGTACGCTGGCAGGGATGGCGAGACGCCGGCGCCTCGGCTCGGGCCCGAGCCTCGGGGACTGCGGGACCGCGGCGCGAGCAGGTGCCGGGCCGCCCGGGGGTCGGGGCGCGCCGAGGTGGTGGCAGCGGGATCCGGGTGTCCTGGGCGCTGCAGGGCCCTAGCACGGCCCCATATGCCACCGGGTCGCGGAGGCTCCGAGGTCTATAGGTGGCTCAGGTACCCTTGGACACACCCAGATGAGGAACTGGTCCACGCTCACACTTGTATTCTCTGCGATGGGGCCTGTGTATTCAGCTTCCCGCATCCGCCTGGTCCTTAGTGATTCTGGGGTCAAAACCACACCCGGGGGATTGGCACCTTACCACCTTTTCCAGTATGGAATAGTTTGTCATAGCTCCCTCCTGGCACATCAGGGGCACCCAGATTCCCCTTTTTTGCCTTTTTAACCCATGTACCAAACATATATTTCTGGGTGAAGGGTTGTTGGGACTGAAGGTCATTTCTCTGTCTAGATCAATGGGATAAGAGCTTTCTGTTACGAACATGGGAAGAGGTAGCAGAGAAATGTGGTCAGCCAAAACATGGCAACTCTCCCTGGTGACACTGAGTCTAGACAGACACATAGACTTACTCTTTGCTCCCTGAAATCAGCTGTCTGGTCTCTGAGACCATAATAAACCCTTATGGTGAAGGAGTGGACTTAGTATGCCGGGCTGCTGTCACAGGGGCAGACCCATTTCTAGGTCTGTCATCACTTCCTAATGCTGTTGTTAAGTGCCCTTGATTCGGTTGGGACTCAATGACCGTGGATAGGGTTTCTGAGGAGTTGAGGTTCAAACTGACCTTAACCTTCCGCTGCTTATCCTACAGCGCAGTGCTTTCAGTTACTCTTAGATAAGAGAAGAATTAGCATCAGGCTTGGCAGTTCAAACTCAGCCAGCTGCTCCTTGAAAACCCTATACAGGGTCCCTATGAGTTGGAACCGATTCAATGGCACTTTACAGCAACAAAAAAATATAACTTGTGATTAGATCCATTAATGGATATTTATTGACTTGTTAGTACTTGTGAAGAAAATAAAAAAATAAAAAGATTGTAAGCCATCATTAGTGCCTAAAAGTCAGAGGAAGGAAAATTGATGTTTACTGAGCACCTTTTGTACCCAGGCACTTTCTATGCAGTTGTGTTGTTTGGTGTCGTTGAGTCGAATTAGACTCATAACCACCCCAGGTGGCAGACTAGAACTGCCCCATAGTTCTTGGCTATGATGTTTACAGAAGCATCTCCCCAGGTCTTTTTCCCACAGAACCATTGGTTGGTTTTCAACTACTTGTCACCAAAATTCTGCATTCTTAATTCTCGCCATAATCCCTTGAGGTCTTTACTGTTATCTCTGATTCCGGATTGAAGAAACAGGTTTAGGAAGATCAAGCAACCTCCCTGAGGGCCTGTTATTGTGCCAATACATAAAACTTGGATACCCTCTATAGGATTTCAGAGTAGTGGCCGGTGGGTTTAAACCTTCACCTTGAGTTCAAATTGACCTTACTGTCTAGTGCTTATCCTAAAGTGTCACACCTGGACTCTGCCTGAATGCCTACACACAGCCAATGCAAAGTCAGAACCCAAATCTCAACTCCAAAGTCTGACTTCCTTATCTGTTTGACTGACACTGGGAAGTTTATAATTCACTTGGGAAAGCAGCAGTGACACATGCATCAGCTAAAAGCCAGCGTGTAGGATTATATCCGATTTGGAAGACTCGAGTTGCAGGGTAAGATTTCATGAAGGAGATAGAACTAGAATTGTCACTATTTGACAATATTTTGGAGGCCTGGTGTGGTACTGTAGGATAAACACTGGACTGCTAATAACAAGGTCAGCAGTTTAAAGCCACCAACTGCTCCTTGGAAACCCTAAACAGACTGTTTTTACCTTTTAGAATCTTCTGTAGGTATTTTGGAGAATTCACATGGAATTGGTTGTTTATTAACAGTTATTGTTGTTGTTGTTGTTGCTATGTGCCTGTGGAGTCGGTTCCTACTCATAGTGACCCTGTACAGGGTTTCCGAGGCTATAAATCTTTACGGGAGCAGAAAGCCTCATCTTTCTCCTACGGAACAGCTGGTAGTTTCAAACTGCTGACTGTGAGATTAGCTCGATTCATAACTGCTGCGCCACCAGAGCTCCTTAACAATTATTAAGGGAATTATATAGGCAGGAAACTGGCCATGGGTTTATATCCAATTTTGGTGTTATGCATGGATTTTTGTCTTTGGGCCTTCTAGAGGGTCACAATAGATATACTGTGTTTTATGCATATATTGTTGTTAAGTGCTGTTGGGGCAGTTCTGACTCAGCAACCCTGTATAGGGTTTCTGAGGAGCAGCTAGTGGGTTTGAACTACCACCTTACTGTTCAAGTCAACCTTGTGGTCTAGTGCTTATCCTACAGCCCCACACCAGGACTCCAATGCACAGATTATACGGAGGTTTTTTTTTTGTTGTTGTTGTAAATTATTCAACCCCACTTTGAGCTATTTCTGGGTTACATGTGTATGTACATTATTTATGTGGGTACATTATATGTGAAAATATGACATCCTGGTATTGTCACAGTCTCTTTGGGCTTTGTGTTTGTGCAGTATGAAGTGTAGAGCAATGCATACTGCTCTTTGTTTCTCTTCACTGTGGACTAAATGCTAGTCTTTTAAGGCACTGTTAAGAGGATTGGAATATGTCGACCAATACTTACAGCCAAAGTTAAAAGGGGGCCCACAAGTAAAAAGACAGAGTATTCTTATCTTGTGAAAACAGCCATGTCCCTGTAGCATAGTAAGAGCTGCAACAATTGTGGTTCATCTATGTATATAGGAAGGAGTCCCCTCTATTTTTGTGAATGAGCTAGTTTTCTAAAGCCTTGTCCATAGCCACCATCTTCTCGCACTGAGGTTTCTGGCCTTGTGTTCATTTTCCTTAGGATACATCCTTTACTCTGTCAGCCTTGTGCAGACATCACCACCGCAGTCAGTCAGGGTTGTTCTAGATATTCATGGGCATCGGGCAGAAACAAAGCAGCCTCTGGCCTTCCTCTTTCTTGTAGTACAAAGGACTCAGACCAGCTTTTCCCATATGTGGGTTACAGGATTCACTGGGGAGGTGAAGCAGGAAGGTGGAGGTGACTGCTGGATCTGTTACTGGAGATCCCCTATGGTGTAGGAATTGTAGTTAAGATTTCGTGTCAGTACATAAACATTGGACTGTAAAGGATCCGTGTATTTATAACCTTGAATTGTTGTTTACATAAGAACTGTGGCAGTCCTACCAAAGGAAAGGAGTCCTTGGTGGCACAGTTGTTCAAGTGCTGGGCTATTTAACCAAAAGGATGTCAGTTCAAAGCCACCCAGGGACACTTTGGAAGGAAGATCTGGTGATCCACTTCTGAAGGATCATAGCTTTGGAAACTCTGTGGAGGAATTGTGCTCTGCACACATGGGGTCACCATGAGTCTGAATCAACTCCATAGCAACTCACAACAGCATGATAGGAAGGGCCAAGGTTGGGTCCTGGGCGGAGCCATTTGTGGTCTGTTTTCTTAATACAGAGCACCAGAGGTTTTCTATAAAACAGGCATTTGGAGCAGAGAGGTCAAGTGTACAGAAGTGTAGGAAAAGAAAATAAATTATTATTTTATTCTCTGTGATGATGTTTTCATGTGTTCTGCAGATCCTTTGATCAGTAATTACATCTCAGCATGTTGAGTCACGTTTACCGCTCCGGGTTCCAGTCCTACTACCAACGTTTCCTGTCCTGGGTCCAGTCCACAACTGTCTCCAGATCTCGTAAGTATCACACAAAACAAAAAAGTATGTGCAAAGTTTGGTATTTGAAGTATATACAAGGGGCTTCAAAAGAGTTGGTGGAAAATTTCCATTATCTTTTAATTCCATTATTCTAAGAACTTTTTGAAGTCCCCTCATGTTTCAGACAAGATTTTAAAGGAAGAAAAAAAATGTACTTTTGTAAAATTGGACAGTCACTTAGCAAGGAAGCAGCCTGTTGGTGAGCTAGTCTAAGTGTCTATATTTGTCAATAAAGTGTTCTCTATATCTGTTCTCCAGAAAATTTTTTCAAGCTTTATTTTTGTTCAGTACTTTTGTTTGATTCGTAAGCTTTTCATTTTGAGATATAGATTCATTTGCTGTTATAAGAAATAATATATTGTGACCACCTTGGTCACCAGTAACAGGAAGTGAGGGAAAAACAGCAATGAAGCAGCGAGCTACGTTCTACCATGTTTAAAAGACTCCTGTGAACCCAGGTGGAGACCTGGTTGTCCAGCAGTGTGGCAAGACCTGGGGACTCTTGGGCCCAGAGTCAGTGACTTAGCCACAGAGGACTAAAGTGGAGAGTGAAGCGTCCAGCTGATAAGAAGGGAGGGCATATGCACAAGAACACCCACACTTGCAGATAATACCCACTTGACCTGGCTTCAATGACTGGATGATCAGAGCTCAACTAGAAGAAGAAAGAAGAGGAAAAAAAAGAGTAATCTGATACAATTTAATGAACTTGACCTACACCTATGGATGCAGTAGCTCAAAAGAGGGAACAAATCTTTACAGCGAGGATCATTCCCACCCCCTTGTTACACAGGGTGGGCAGAGATGGGCAATTTGGACATTGTTGTTGTTGTTAAGTGCCATTGAGTCGATTCCGACCCATAGCGACCCTGTATAGGGTTTCCAAGGAGCAGCTGGTGAGCTTGAAACAGTGACCTTGCAGTTCAAAAGGCTTTGCAGTCTGGCTCATTAACCCACAGCGCCACACCAGAACTTGGACATTGACTACCCAGAATGGGGGTCAAGAAGTGACTGGCTACTAGCTTTCAAGAGGGAGCCAATATCCAGAGGGTGCAGAGGAAGGTAGAATCTCCACTGAGTAGTATCCAATCTGTCTGGGCGGGGCTGGTGACAGGAGATGGGAATAGCACTCATGTGGCACAATAGTAAATAATTGCTATCAGGACTGACTGTGAGGGTTGGTAATGTAAAGGTAGACATTTTGTAGCAAAAGGAGAGGACTGATTGACTTTGCAGTCTAGGAGCGGAGGTCCCTGGGACCGTCAAGGGAAAATAGCAGAGTGTGGGACCCTACCCAGAGAAGCAGTGACGCCAGAGAAGGAGGCAGAGACAATGACATGGAGAGTTGGAGTGGATGGGAACTCTAAACCCAGAGAGGGAGAGCGGCTGTGTGCTGACAGGCTTGCAGTGTGTATCCTTTGGTTGATGATGCATGGAGGGGACTATAACCATGGCATTGAAACAATATGCAATAGAATGAATGTAAAGCTAATGTTGCCCCGTGTAAACTATCACATAATTCACAATAAAACATTTTAACCAAAAAACAATACAGAGATCCCTTATACTTTTTATCCACCTTTCCACAATGGTGACACCTTGCAAATCTGTAATATAGTATCAAAATCAGGATGTTAACATTGATACACTCATGATACAAATTATTGTCATTACTGTCAAGATCTTTCATGTTGCCCTTTTATGACCACACTGACTGCCATGTCTAACCCTTGGCAACCACTGATCTGTTTGTTCATCCTTTCTCTTTCTCTTTCTTTTCTCTTTTCTGCCTATCATTTTAAGAATGTATAAATATAACCATATAGTATGTAACTGGATCTATAACTCTAGAGAGTCATCCAAGTTGTTCTGTGTCAATAATTTATTCCTCTTTTTTTAAAAAAACTTTTTGTTGTGAATTGAGTAAAGGTTCAAATCTACTTGACTTCCTTGCTGTTTGGCAGTTCTTAAACTACACTGTCCCCTCCTTTTGCTTTGTAGTTATCTTCATTATAAATTGCTACCTCTAGTTCCCTATTTTCAATCTTGTAGGTTTGTTGGGTGGTGCTGTCATATATGTTAATCTCAGGTTGTTGCCTGCTGCTGTTGGTTCGCTGTCCAAAGAACTCCCTTTAGTATTTTCTGTAAAATTGGTCTAGTTTTTACAAATCCCTTTAATTTCTCTGTACCTAGAAGTGTTCTAAGGAGTTCTGGTAGTGTAGTGGTTACGAGTCAGGCTGTTAATCTCACAGTCAGCAGTTCAAAACTACCAGCTATTATGCAGGAGAAAGATGAGGCTTTCTGCTCCCGTAAAGATTTACAGCCTTGGAAACCTTGTACAGGGTCACTATGAGTCGGAACCGACTCCACAGCCCATAAAAACAACAACAGAAGTGTTCTAATTTCACCATCATAGTTGAACAGTTTTGCTGGGTAAATGATTCTTGGTATATTTTTCCTTTCAAAGTCTTAACATTTATCATCCCATTGCCTTCTTGCCTACCTAGTTTCTGCTGAGAAATCAGACCATAATCTTTTTGTTTCTCCTTTGTAAGTAACTTTTCGTTTTTCCCCAACTGCTCTCAGAATTCTTTCCTTGTCTTTGGTTTTGAGAAGAGTAACTATGCTATGTCTTGATAATTTTCTCTTGAGGGGATATTCAAATACAAACTAAAGCTAAAGAGAATGAAAACAAGTCCACGAGACCCAAAATATGACCTTGGATATATCCCACCTGAACTTAGCAATCATCTGAAGAACAGATTTGATACATTAAACACTAAAGATCAAAGACCAGAAGAGTT